AAAAAAAAAAAAAAAAGAGAGAAAAAAAAAACAGAACGTTCGCATCAAAATTATAAAAAAAAAAAAGGAATCCTTGTTGCTCCCTATTTTTTTATGTAATCGTAAAAAATTGACCCATTTTTATTTGAAACACTTAATCTAAAATAAAAAAGAAAATATTCTCACTGCTCAACTTTAAAGTTGGCAATACGTTTTAACTTTTCAATCTTTTCTTTTCATATGATAATAAATTCGATTTTCATATTTTTTTTTAACTGATTATGGAGAACATGAAATCATTAGATCGGTCATAAAATGAGCAACAAAAAAAAAATTACATGCAACATTATACATAGTTTCATCAGTCGATTGTAATTTTGATAGGGAGATAATCGTTAGCGTTTATCGAACTATCTGTTCGATGCCGGCTTGTAAGTATTACTAATTTTTTCTTCAATATCGAAATAAAAAAAAAGAATACACATTTACAGGCATAACATTGTAATAACTATTATAAATGTTGTATATACTACATTCAATCTTGACAAAATAAACATGGAACTCCTGATGACATTTAACTATTTTAATCTCCGTAAGTAGCAACTTAACTATCTGTAAATCCATGTAAATCCATTAATATCATAACGAATAAAATCGATGTTACTTTTATATCAATAGTTTTATAATCTCATTTCACCTTTATACCATTATCATAATATTTTTTTTTAATATCTATATTTTCTTGCATTATTAATCTTTATAAGAATTCTGTTTGTTAGATCGAACTGAAACAAACTACAAAATTAATTGGAAAAAATTCCGATTAAGATTTTTAATCAATAAGTTAAAAAAGAAGACAATAAGAGTTGTTAGATATTGAATTGTCTTTCGAACATAAATTTCGAGCATAAATTTTGCAAAGCAAGTATAGATAAAGAAAGAAAATAATGAAAAAAGGATAGAAATATGAGAAGCGCCATCTCTAGAGTGTTGCGAATGAAATACAAATATAAACAAAAAGAACAAATAATAAGAGAAGGATAGAAATATTGACATGTCGTTAAAGATAGAAAATAAAATAGAATACTTAAGATGGCGTTGACTGTTAATTCTTATCCTATCTCTATTCTTCTATTATTTATTCTTCTTATCTATATTTATGTTTCATCTGCGCCATTCTAAAGATGATGTTGATTTCACAATTTTTAATCTATCTCTGTGCTTCTTTTATTTTATTTGTTCTTATTTTTATTTATATTTCTCTGTAAAATTTATACCTTCAAGAGACTACTTCGATATTTGAATTATTATTTTATCATTTTTTTTTTTTTTATAACTTACTGATTAAAACTTTTATCGATAACTTAATCAATTCAATATTTATATATATATAAAAAAAGTTTTTAAAATTTGTTGACTTTTATGATTGAATTGTTATAATTATAATATAATATCTGCATTTAGGAATGCATTTCATAATTTTAGAACATTCGGATTTTTTGATAACTTAAAATTTTGATTTTATTAATTTTATTAATTTAAGTTATTAAATTTGTTATAATAAATTTTCAATCTTTAATAGTATACTCTTTACAACAAAAATTTTTGATCTTAGATAATAATACTTCTTTTTCTTCTGATGTAACAAAAGCATATTGTACGGATGATAAACAAAGTTTTATTAGTTGTTCTCGGCTTAAATTAAATGTTGAACTAGCTATTTTATATTCTTGAGATAAAGATGTATGAAAGACACCTTTGTCATCAGTCTAAAAAATAAAATATACTTTTTAAAATTTGATTATTCGATAAATGTTAACAATTTTACTCACACTAAGACAAATAGGATGACCAACTTCAAACAAATATTTAAATTGATGAGATTCATAAGTAGGTACAGTTTTACATCGAACATTTGAAGTTAAACATAGTTCTAGATAAAAAGATAAATAAATAACACAAAATATTCGATATATTTCTGTGTAAATTAATTAAAAAACTTTAAATTAATATAATTTTTTCATTCTTACCTACAGGAATTCTTGAATTAATAAGCAGATTAAATAATTTATTCGTCCCTTGCAATGTAGGATGAACACAAGTACAATGTCCTAATCTATCTGGTTTAAATTCAAGAATATCTATTGTTTCTGTTTCATTTGAAACCTATATAAGATAAATAAGAAAACACTTAATTTAATCAGAAAATCAAATTAATTTTAATTTAAATATTCACTTAGTTTCACCTCTGCACAATGAGCTGCTATTTTAAGTCCAGCCATTCTAGCTTCTCTTAATAATTCTAAAAAAATACTTCCTGTCATTGGATCTCCACTGAGATCAAGTCCAACAATATATTGTGGATATTTCTTCATAAAATTTATTGCTAATTCTATGTTTTCTTGTGCTGCTTTATATCCTTGCTTACGATTAACAGATATTAATAATTTCAATAATATATTTGGAAAATCAATTTTGCAAACTCTATAATTATAAAATAATCTAAATTAAAAATTTCTTAATATTTTGACTTTTAAAAAGTGATAAACATTTTAAATTATATTTACTCAAATGCTTTTATGATTGCTTCTACATATTCTTGTTTTGACATTTTCTCAGGAATAGCACGAGGTGTGCTTCTAAGTTCCAAATATATTACATTATCATCTTGGAATTCTTTAATTGTGTTATAAGTAGCATGAAAAATTGCCTCTGGTGTTACTGTCAATGAATGTGCTATATCAAATACTTTGAAACATCTACAAACAATTATACATTTTTTTTATAGAATAATAATATAACACATTTAAAAATTAGAAATTTAAAATTTGTATTGTTATTCGTACTCGTCTAATGATGAAAAATCTTTCATGTCCATAAATACATTTTCATAACTTCCTAATTCAGAATTTTGCATTTTGTATAATTTTTTTAAAGTATCCGTGCTTAAAGATCCATTTAAGTGAGCATGAAGTTCCTATAAATACAGAAAAAATATTTTTTAATTACAAACATTAACCTCTATATTGTAGATTAAATAGATTACGTACCAATTTTGGTAAATAATGGCAGAATTTTTCTAAATTCATTGTAAATTATAAATCACTTTTTTATATGTGTGTAAATAAGTTTCTTTTATTTTAATGTATCGTCTAATTCAAATTATTATTATTATATAATATGAACTGATAATCGAGCGATTTTTAATTCGAGAAATGATTTATTTATTATTCTTATGTATTTTT